AAAAAATGGTCAATATTCAACCATTTCAAGAAATAGCATAGATCAAGAACCAATGGTACTGAAGGAAGAAGTCCAAGGTGCACTGAAGGCATTGGCAAAACACAAGGCTCCAGGAATTGACGGAATACAAGTTGAAATGTTTCAACAAATTGATGCAATATTGGAGGCACTCACTCATCTATGCTTTGAAATTTGGAAGATGGCTACCTGTTACCTGGTCAGCGGATTGGAAGAGACTCATTCATATTTGTGCCTATTCCAAAGAGAGGTGAATCAACGGAATGTGTAAATCATCAAACAATCATTAATATCACATGCAAGCAAAATTTTGCTTAAAATATCCAAAAATAATTGTAGCACTGCGTTGATAGGGAACTGTCAAGCAGGATTCAGAAGAGGATGTGGAACGAGAAATATCATTGCTCCTGTTATATGGATCTTGGCTGAAAACAGAATATACTAGAAAGATGTTTACTTGTGCTTTATTGGCTATGCAAAGACTTTCAACTGTGTGGATCATGACAAATATTTCTGACAGTGAGTATTCTAGAACATTTAATTGTTCTCATGAGGAATCTGTGCGTCGACCAAGAGGCAGTTGTTAGAACAGAACAACTTGTTTCAAATAAGGAAAGGTGTGCATCAGGGTTTGTATCCTTATGTATTAAATCTGTGTGCTGAGCAAATAATTCAAGAAGCTGTATTAGTTGAAGATGAATGTGGCAGCAAGATTGGAGGAAGAAACATTGTTGTTGTTATTATTGTTAAGTGTTAAGAGTAGGTTTCGATCTATAGTAAGCCTGTATGGGCCTCTTACTTTGTTCTTTTTTAGTAATGCTTACTTCTCAGGATATCTTTCCTTTTCATTTAAAATTGGTGATTAGTTTTTCCATCTCTTGGCAATTCAATGCTGTTGGAACCTGGACTGGGATTGCATTATATCTATCGATTACTTTGGGTAGTGTTGACAGTTTCATAATGTTAAGTCTTCCTATCCATGAGCATGGTATATTCTTCAATTTTTCTAGATCTGTTTTTTTTTTTTTTTTTTTTG